ATCAGTGACATCATCATCATCATCCCCATCAACACCATCATCATCATCACCAATATCAGTGCCATCATTATCATCACCATTATCAGTGACATCATCATCATCATCACCAATATCAGTGCCATCATTATCATCATCACCATTATCAGTGACATCATCATCATCATCAACACCATCATCATCATCATCACCAATATCAGTGCCATCATTATCACCACCATTATCAGTGACATCATCATCATCATCACCATCATCACTACCATTGTCAGTGACATCATCATCACCATCACCAATATCAATGCCATCATTATCACCACCATTATCAGTGACATCATCATCATCACCATCATCACCACCACTGTCAGTGCCATCATCATCATCATCACCATCATCACCACCATTGTCAGTGCCATCATCATCATCATCATCAGTGACATCATCATCATCATCATCACCACCATTGTCAGTGCCATCATCATCATCACAATCAACACCATCATCATCATCATCACCAATATCAGTGCCATCATTATCACCACCGTCATCAGTGTCATCATCACCACCATTGCCGTCAACATCAGCACCATCATCACTACCATCACCACTATCATCAATGTAAATCATATTAGGAAAATGCATTCACTTGTTACCTGTTTGCAAGTTGACGAATAAAACGTCCAGATTTTAAGGAAGGGAATGTTGAACCGTGGAAAAAGAGCACTGAAATATAAAAGAAAACCCTTTATTCACTTTTTATCCATTTACTATTATTTTTAGTTTCCCAGTGGAGAGTATCGTTGTGCCTCCTGTCATGGCTGCCATCACGTGATGGTGCAAAGCCTCTATTTGATGGCTTGCGACTATTCTCAAGAAAATAAAGTGGCCAAGACATGTCACTCTTGTTGGTACTATTGGTGGTCTTTAATAGTTTGTTAACTAAATAACTAACCTTGGATTGGGTCTGTAGCGTGGGTTAGTGAATCGATCAGGATCAGACATGCTCGCCACGTTCAGCCACGTCCATAACGACGCTGACCTCTCATGTACTCCTTTCTATTGATATTTTAAACAACAAAAATACTCTTAAAACTTCGATTAAGCGACCAAGCTTTATTTAGTGGGCAGTTTTCTAAGTGCCGTTAAGGGATATTACAGTATCCTCTATCTAACGGCCAACATCTATTTAGCGGCCACTTGACTTTTCCCAAACTGTCGAGGTGACCGGCGCTTGATAGGGGTACTAATGCATTACAATCTTTATTTCATTAGTTCAAATGAAGACAATTATGACAAAATGATCAAACAAGGCATTGATTATGAAATTGCATTTGTGGAAGGAACATAAAGTTCCCACGAGTTCATCAGAGAAGAAGTCTTTTTTAAATACAGATTTTGTTTCATCAAGCAAATACTAGAGGAAAAGTAAGTCTCTTCTAGCTACTTCACAAAGGAAACATCAAGAAAATCAAACATACTTAATATTTAATAAGATGTTTTCGTAATGATAATGACTTTATTATGACAGAGAGGTGTTATCGTAGAGTCTTTTACCTTTTTATAGTCAGAGTTGGCCAGAAAATCTCCAAAACGACAAGAGTACGCACTCTCTGCTATTGTCTGTAGATGATGCAAGGAAAATAATAAGAAACGAGGAGGAAAAAGAAAAGATCTATGCTAATAAAGTCGAAGATAATAAATACACCAATTCAAAAGAGAATTGTATTAATTATCGTGTATATTTACTGTTTACGTACATTGTTATTTCTAAAATCAATCCGTCCATCGTCATCATTAACAATAACGAAGTCGAATGTTCCGGCAAGAGAGAGAGAAAGAAGCATCTTACCTCGATTAGCGAAGAGTTAAACTCAAAAGAAAATGGAAATTGTTGAGTTATCTGTAACAAAACATTAAGTGATTTAATTTATTATATCCTTCATACACATATACAGAATTACACACAGAATGGACCACTTCGACAATGCGATGGCCATCTTGGATACAAGGCATTATTGAGCGTCCACGTCGATTGATATTAACAGCTCACCATAACAGAATACAACAAAAGGTGAATTGGCACATCGATCACCTTTTTAAACCATAAAAGAAAGACAAACAGACGAAACTCTATATATTTTCCGTCATCTTTGTTTTGTTTTGCACCCTGGCAAGATGGCCGCCTATCGTCGAAGTTGTCCATTTTGGTGCGAGGACCACTAAACTAACATTTTATAGAGTCTGGCCCTGTAATATTTTTTAGAGAGTGGCCCTGTAATGCTTTTTATTATTTGCTGTTGGTACGTACCTGCCAGACACAGTCTAAGAACTGTAAAAACACAGGGCCATGTTCGTCTGGTGTTTCAGCAGGGAGGGTACGATCAACGAATCGGTGAGCAAAGGCCATCCACTCCTTCTGGATCAATATCTGCAAATAAATCATTATAAAACGTTATGTTCCATCATGAATCGATCATCAGTCACAGTTAGTACCCGTCACAAATTATAACTATAAACCCTCATCATACCCATCCCACGATTAACCCAAGGCACATTGCAGTTGTCTAGTCGTAATTACCTGAAAGCCATCGAATGTTCTGTAGTATGGGTCGAGAAGAAGCTGTGTTAGGCTTGTAAGCTGTGAAAAAAAACAACATTTGAACAAAACATTCAATGAAAGACGTTCAAGAGTTCTTCCGTTAAAACGCACGAAAAATAGGCACGAAACTCCAACGGAAGTTATTTACACTTCCGGTTGACGTCACCATAAAAGTTCCTTACTATGATCTCCTGAGCGTTTACCTGAGCCGTACGATCAAACCCATCGCCATAACTAAACAGGACTGATGATCTATCGCAATCCATAGCAACAGCAGCTTGAGTACCGGTTTGTATTAGCTCACTTATTTGTGACAGCCATTCTGTCTCCTCTAGTGATGTAAGATATTTACTGTCCTCACTAAAATAAGAAAAAAAGTTAGGTCATTCCAGAAGTTATCACAGGAAAAAGGGAGGAGGAGGTTTAACCCTTGCGTCCCACTTCCGGCCGGCCCGTTCGGGAAAATTGATTTTATGCCAATGTTGAGCAGGCAGTTAATGACCTCGGATATTAAACCTGGGTCAGGGCTAATTAGAAATCGCCAATTCATTGTCATCATCCACTTTCTTTTTTCCCAAACTTCAGACCACTTGTCCTTCACTTCAGAATCTTCTCAAGGGTTACTTGTAAATTAAGGAAATAATACTCAAGAGAATGGCATCAAGGGCGGATCCAGCCAAAATTTTAGGGGGGAGCTAATTGAGTTTAGGGGGGGCTATTTAAGTTTCTTCCGTCAACACAACGGAAAACAATAAAAAAAGCATATAACTCTTCAGTTTCGTTTTTTTTTTTTTCAGCCCCCCTTTGCCCCCCTCTGGATCCGCCCTTGGGCATGTAACTTGAAGAAAACAATGGATTGCATCTGGTTTTTTTTCCCTACGTAAAGTTATTTTGGTCTCAATTCAGTATCCTTATGGTTTACTTTACAAATCATAATAGTGATGCTCAAGGACAACTTACATCGTGCTGGCAAGGAATGTCTGCAGTTTGAAGGCACTTTGTCGAATCGCTTTAAAATCGGGAGCTGTATCCACGTAGACGAACTTACAGTTAGCATAGTAGAAAGCTGTTGGAAAGAGACGATAAGTACATTAAAGTGTATACTGTGTGCAGCTTAAACTTTGAACTTGAGTCACTCAATGAAATAATAATAATAATAATAATAATAATAATAATAATGGTTTAATCAATAGAATCCACGAGGTGGCTCTTCACCTATCGATAAAACTATCTAATTTACAATAACATACACACAAGATAAATTTACGATAAACTATGAAGCTATAAAATAAATTAGACATAATAAGAAATAAGATTGACATAATTACTATTGGATTATTCTAAGCTAGACAATTATTATACATAAATAAAAAGGACAAAAACTGAAGATATTGGGGCTACGCCCACCGCCCCCAAGCAACCACCCCAGGTCGAGATATTCGGGGCAACAGGCAAAGAGAAAACTGTCCCAAATGCTACGACCCAATAATTAGCCCACGAGAATACTCTACACCTTAGTTTGGACTTTGTTTGCAAACTAACCTCCTACCAACTCGACCCGTTGCACTAATTCCCCAATTTGAGAGTCAAAACAATAGACATCACACCGAATCGATGGACACATCGGTCTTTTTTTACTAGTAATTGTTTTGGCATTCTGTGCGATGATTAATTTCTTGAAGATTGAAATTTGTTTTAGATGTATATAGTTTAAAATTTTCTTCACCCCCAGCTAGGGACGTATCGCTTACTTTCTCCTTGTTCTGGAGTTAACTGTCCTGTTGCATCGTTCATCCGTTGGGTAGGAGTATTCAACAGTCCTGCACCAGATTGCTTTGGTCTGCAAAATCAATGGATAGTTTCATACGTTTATCTATCCTTGTTTTTATTCCTCTATTACCCCCTTCCTCCCTTCGTTCCTTTTGTCCTTTTCTTCATTCATTCATTTATTCATGCACTGACTTAAGATATCATTGTTGACTCACTGTTCAGAGAAGACAACAAGCTTGTTCTTGGCAGCATACTGGTTGATCTGACACACGCTGTTTAAAAACGTCTCGTCGTGTTCACAGCGTGACTCCAGTAAACCCCTTGAAGGAAGACATATAAGACATTTTAAAATACCTGTTATGAATTCCATGTTCTGATTGGGTGGGAGCGCGTGTATTATAAGAGCACAAAGCATGCGTTTTCTACTTTGACGTTAGAATCCAAAATAATGGTACGCTATGCGTCGTGATTCTCCTAACTATTCTCTTGTAGTCTGCCAATTCCCGCTTGCTTTATAACTAAACACAGCAAGCACGCGCGTTTTCTATTTCTTTACTAGTGGGCAGTAAAACGTGAAAATTCGACAAAGAAGTGTCTAAGGCACACAAGCTGAGGGAGTAGCAACAAGGAACTCTAATTACGACACAAGCAACTCTATTTATTTACGACACGTGATCGAAAACCTATTATATGATACGAGTTGGAAAATCTAATTCAATATACCTCCGAGTGATGGCTATCGCCGATCTGAGCATCACTGAGCCATTCTTTTTATGCTTCCAACAAACTGCAGGGTAACAGTCATTTCTTGAATATAAACGAGAAGAATATATTAATAAGTATTCTTACAATTATCATCATTCCAGTGTTGGGAGAGAGAAGGCAGGGGGGGGAGTGGGGGGGTGATGAAAAAAGATATACACGCATAAGAACAAAATAATAAAAGAAAATAAGGGATGGACCATTAGATAATTGATGGGGGGGGGGGGGGGGGGGGGGGGGGGATTTTTGGTTG